GTCCAGTTCAGTGAAGGAGTCAGTACTGCAAACCAGTTCCAGGTGGTTCTCTCATCCTGCCTCCACCCCTAAATATGACCCTGCAGGTACCAGTTGTCACCAGGGACCGGCCCCGCTTCCTTCCCCACACTGCTGAGGAGCACAGGGGGTATAAACAGTCACCTTTGGAATTCCTACTATCCTTCTTTTAAAAAGACAGACTATTACTCTGTAGCCCAGGCTGGCCTCAAATTCCTGGCTCCTGACCGATAAGATCACAGGCATGAACCATCACACCCGGCTCTCAGCGCACTCTTCTCCAGGAAGTTTGATGTCAGCCCACCTCTTGGGGAGGGGATGGAGGGGGTGATGGTGGTATTTCCAGCATGTCTGTCACAGTTTTGAAAGGACAGTAAAGGTGGGGTTCTCTCCCGGCACTTTGTGGAAGAAACTGCCTCTGTGAGGCTTGGGGCATCTAAGAATTGAAAGCATTTGTGTTAATTTCCTTCCCAAGGAATGGTGGCCTGAGTGTCATGAAGCATCTGGCTTAGAAGGGAGGGAAGGAGGAGGAGGGAGAGGTCCAGGAAGAGGAAAGAGAGGGAGAAGGAAACAGATATTATGGGGTACAAAAGGAAAAGTCTCTTACTGGGCAGGGACTTTTCTGGAGATGAGACCAGAAGCAATGTCCTGGGTTGAGGTGTTGAAGGGGAGAGCATTGAACATGTCACCCCTGGGCCCATATGGGCCTGCATCTGTCTCCCCACTGCCTGTGGCTCTCGGGCTTTTCAGAAAGATGTGGTCCCCTGCTGAGCTGGGCCTGCTTTTCACTACCCTGGAGGATCTTACAGAGATCAGGGGCTCTGGGATGGGGGCATGGAGGGTAAAGATGCCAGCCCCACCGGGAGTCACGATCCTTTTCTGTCCTCCCTTGTCTGGGGAATAGGGTAGCTCCAGCCTGTTGGCCCTGGACATCAGCATCTCCCAGGCTATTGAGAGTTCAGACATGGGAAACTGAACCCCGAGGCACCATCCACTCGAGCTACAGAACTGAAAAATAATCAGGCATTTAACACCCACAGGATGAGCAGAAAACTCACAAAGGCTGATGCTACCAAGTGTGACAAGGACGGGGGAACAATGGGGACTTTCATATGCTACTGGTGAGAGCAGAGAAGGTCCAGGTTTAGCCTGAATCTTGTGTATGCAATACAGAGGTCCTTTTAGGGAGGCAGGATCTTGGAAGACAACTGAACGGGTGTTAGTATCAAGCTTAGAGAGACTGGATGAGCTTCCTGGGAAATCTACTGTTGGGACGTGTCAATTAGAATGACCGTTTGGGACAGCAGGGTGGTGACAAATGAGAAACAGAGATGTTCATGCCCTGGGACCCTGCTGCCAAATTTCCATGCATTTAGGGAGAAATTTCCAGCAAGGATTACCAGGATGTTCCTGGCAATGTTGTCTGCAGCAGCTAAAACTAACAAACTGGAAACAGCCAAAATATCCAACAACGGAAGAATAGATTAAAAAATGGCAACAGGTATAAGTCTGAAAACTTACTGGGAGCTACAGAAGGGCACACCCAGTGTGATACGATTGTCACAAGTGTAACACCAGAAAGCAGCACCGTGCTCATAATTGTGCACACAATGGAGTCTGAAGAGTGCTGCAGTAATAAACATTTTCAGCCTTGGATCTTCCTGAGGACGGAGAATTGAGAGAGGGCAAGATAAGGGCTGGAGAGACAACATGTCAGATCACTGAGGCTCCTCAAAACCAAGAAGCAAGTAAGAGACAAAAAAATGAGAAAGTTGGGCAATAATTATATGGATGCTTGATAAAGTGTTATGTATACTTTTCTGTTCTATTTGAAATTTTCCTAATATTTTTGCTTTTTTAAAAATTGAGATGAGCTGGGCGGTGCTGGCGCACATCTTTAATCCCAGAACTTGGGAGGCAGAGGCCGGTGGATCTCTGTGAGTTTGAGGCCAGCTTGGTCTACAGAGCGAGATCCAGAATAGCCAAGATTACACAGAAACCTGTTTCAAAAAACCAAAAACCAACCAAACAAAAAACCCACCACCACCACCACCACCATCACCACCACCACCACCACCACCAAAGAAATGGAGGTGAAATTCACGTATCGATCGCAACCAGACATCTCAAGCTGACAAGGTCGATGGCACTTTGCACATTTATGGCATCCTACAACCACTGCCTCTATCTAATTAAAACACATTTCAGCACCCAAAAGGGAAACCCTACACCCATTGAGCAATTGCTCTCCAATGCCTGTTCCCTTTAGTCTCTGGCAAATCACCAGTCTGTGTTCTGTCTCCATGCTTTTCAGTTTGGGGTACTTTGTGTATATGGAATCATACAGTGTGTGATCCTTTCCATCTGCCTGCCTTCAAGGCTCATCACCTTGACAGCGTCGATGGGTACTTCCTACGTCCAGACAGTATTCCATTGTAGGGAAAGGTGACATTGTGCTTGCCAGGTCCACCTGTCCGGTGGCTCTTTCGGCTGTTTTTACCCGTTGGTTACCTTGGTGAGCACCGCTGTGGGAATGTGTGGACACACTCTCACTTGAGTTTCTGCTTTAATTCTGTGGTCGTATTCCTGGGTGTGAAATTGCTGGGCCATAAGGTAACTGTTGAAGGAACCACCAAACTGCTCTCCACATTAGCCGAACATCTTTACATTCCTAACAGCAAGAGTCACCGTTCCGCCATACCCTGGATTGTTAGGGTCCATCCAGGGAGTGGTATTGTAGAGTTTTGTTGTGGTCTTTGCTGCTGGACCTGTTTTTAAAACTAACAGCCAATCTAGTGGGTAGGAGGGGACACCTCAATGTGGCTTTGATTTCCTTTCCTTGGTGACTAACTCAGCTGAGCATCGTTTCATGGGTTCATTACCCATGTGTGTTTCTGCCTTGGAGAAATGTCTGTCCAAGCCATTGCCCACTTTATCATCGTGTTTTGGGTGTTGACTTATAATACTCCACAGTTTAAGAAAACACCCCTGGCACGGTCAGTGCCTCTTCCAGCCTTTTAATTTTCCAGCTCTCTGTCAAGACACTATTTCTTCGTATGTACAGTCTATGCTGAGGAGCACTTGAAGGACTGTGTCTGCTTTCTCCCTTCTCTCCCAAGGCATCCTGTAAACCCAGCCCTGATCCATAGAGGGAGAAAGACTCAAAGATGGCAAGTGAGACACCAAAGGCTTCTCGAGAAGGTGGCGGGTGTGGGAGGGTGGGGACAGAGAGCAACTGCTGAGGTCGAAGAGACACACTTTTAAAACAAGTGAAAGGGAGGATTCGGGTCAAGAGGGAACTCGAGAACCCCCTGCCACCACGTAGAGGATGGGGAGCACTCAGTGGGGGTGCATTTTCCCTAAACACCTAGTGCTGAGGTTTTCCACACCCACAACTCTCTTTACAGGGATGATGGGGTCCTCCTGTCCTCTCTGTAGATTTGGTTGTCCTGCCTGGCTGGGCTGTCCCTCTCCTCAGAACCAGTCTTTCTGTCATACTGAGTAATTAAAAAGTGGGTATGTGCTCTTGGAGGTTGTGGACCTGCCACCACCAGCCCCCCCTCACCCCCCCCCCCCGTGTGTGTGTGTGTGTGTGTGTGTGTGTGTGTGTGTGTGTGTGTGTGTGTGTGTGTAACCTCCCTGCCCCATCACCCCTCAGGCTGAGACATGCTCTCTTTTGGTCCGGCCCCTGTAGGTTCCTCTTTGTAAAATTCTGAAGAGTCACCCATTACTTATTCCCAGGTCCCAATATTGGGCAAACACAGGCTAAGAGATGATAAGGACAAGTACTCCCAGAGCACTCAGGGGTGCTTTCCCATATGGCCAGGTGCCTGTGTCAAATCCATTCAGTTGGCACTGCTCCAGGGCTTGCTCGGCAACCCTGATCATGGAAGGAACTCAAGGTTGGAAGGCTTGCTAACGACCTAGATGACCCTGGGCAAGTTTGACCCAGTTCTGGGTCTAGGTGCTCTCATTTGTGAGGTGTGAAGCTTGGCTCGGTGATGTGCAGGGTCTCCTACAAATATTGCTTCCATAGCCTTGGTCTTGGTTAGGCCTGGGGTGTGAAGTCACTTCAGAAACACCCAGGTTGGTTTCAACTCAACACTCATCTCAATTTCAGTGACATCCCCGGATGAGGGAGCCTACTGTCTTTGGTCCACATTCTCCCTTCCTAACCATGCGCTGTTAGAAGCCAGGATCCTGTTGTTAAAATCACCTACATTTTCTTTTCCAAGCCAATGTTCCACACAAAGGATTCTGGGCAGTGGGTGCACAGGAGATGTTGTCTCCACACCACAGAATAAACAAACACCCTCCTGCCCAGGCAAGCCTGAGAGGCCCCTGGGGACTTGAAACCAAAGGAGTTCTGAAGCCTCAGCACCTTACCAGGAGCCTACAAGAGAAAACTTTCTCCAAGCTACCGGGGCGGTTCTAGAGTATAAGGCTAGGAGAACCCAGCCCAGGTGCAGAGTCAGCTCAAGGTCAGCCAAGGGAGGCGACAGAATTCACCTCTCTCCTCCCTCCTTTCACACAGGGCTCAAGGACCACAGCCAAGCAAGCGCCAGCCTCTATTTTTCTTACTCCCTGATTAAATTTGCCACAGAGACAAACTCTTACCCCAAAACTTCAAAATGCCAGAAGAGCCTGGCTTCTTTCTGTTCCAAATCTCTGTCGGTCGCATGGAGGGGTCTTTGGTTGGCTTTGTTTACTTAAAGGGACTCTGGGTGGGGAAAACAGGCACCTTGTAAGGAAGCTGCGCTCCGATAGGAGCAGAGGTAGGGGAAGAAGTTTCTTTGCACCTGCCTGGGAGATCAATCCGCTATTTTAGAAAGGAACAAACCACCGAGAGATGGGGAGACTTTCTGGATTCGGTTCCCTCCATACTGCTCGTGGGGCCGGGGACAGCGGTGCAGAACCCTCGAGGGAGCGAGCAGCATATCCCACCCAGTCCCTTTCCCAGCGCAGGGTGCGCTACCACTCACAAACTCAAAGATGAAGAGCAAGTCAGGGAAGGTGACGAAGACCGAGAAGCCACTGGGCAGTGTGCTGCCACCCGAAGCCGCTGCGGGGGCCATGCCTGCGAGCTGGCGTCGTCGGCCTTGGGATGGGACACGCGCACCTCCGGCTCCGCGCTGACCACTCGCTTCGCTCTGCAGAGCCCAGTGGCCGCGGCGCCCTCGCGCGTGGGTTAAGAACTGAAGAGTCTGGGCCAGAGGAGGGCGGAGCTCCGGCCACCCGCCCCGCCCGGGTCCACTGCCCCAGGGACAAGGCTGAATTGCCCCGCGGGCGCCGCCCTGAAACCCAACGGGTGCTCTCTGACGGTCTGCAGGACTGGGGGCGGTTGTCTGAACTCTCCTGTCGCACCCCTGGGTGCCACCTGCCCGTGGGGAGCGGGGAGCGGGTGGAGAGGCTCTGGGGCGGCACTTCCCTGTGCTGCACTCCAGGCAAGTGACCACTATCCATCAATAACTTATCCAAAACCTCCCCACTTAGGCACCTCATCTCTTTAACTCTAACTGGGTCTCCAGTCTTCCCTAGGTGCGTTAATGTGTGCAACCTTCACATCCAGGCGTTCGGAGGACACATTCTCCGTGGCAGGCTGGGGGTTACAGGGGCGAGTGTGAGACTTGGCAGGGGAGCTATATGCCAGAAGGAGGGAAGGGGGTAGCTCCTGGAGGGCTGGCTGACAGTGGCAGTGATGATGGGACAAGTTGCAGTTGCATCCATGGGACAGACATTGCCGGGGAAGATGCCCACAATTCTAGGGATGGGGCAGACCTCCCCCATTCTGTGTCCTTTGACTGTTTCGACCGCTGTGTTGTTTGTGGGGCTTTCTTCCTTCTGTACCACAATTTTGCGCTTTATTTTTGCCTTTATTTTTAAACCAGTATCATACCTCGTTAACTGCCGTTTATAGCACACCAATACTTGCCTTCTCTTTACATACAATGGCTTCTCAACCTCCAGCTCAGGTTCTGAACTCGATCCCCTCCCACCCTACCTTTACCCCCAACCGCCACTACTGTGCATGGTCTCGTGTGTGTGTGTGTGTGTGTGTGTGTGTGTGTGTGTGTGTGTGTGTGTGTGTAGTCCCTCCCACTTTCCCTCCACACAATTCTTTTTCCTTTCCACTTCCTACAAGAAGTACACTTCTGGACTTAGTTTTCAAAAGCAAGACTCCATGCCCATCAGCTGATCAGGGCAACAGCTTATGGGAAGGGACCAGAGGTTTGAAGTGGGAAGATCCTCTGTTCTATTGTGAGCCTCTCCAGACTGTCAGCTTTGGTGACTTGGGAGTGAGTGCCTCCACCAAGTCCCAAGGTCTCCAGGTCAAGACCTCTAGACATGATGGGCTGTGAGGTTGTCAGGGCCCCTTCCCCCACGCCTTCAACCTGGACAACTTACAACTTGTTAGTCCCACTGGATCCTGAGAGTGTCTCTTCCTCCTAAGGAGATTATAGTGGAGGCAAGCCAAGCAAGCTGGGCACAGAAGGTCACCACCAGCTGCCTATAAGATGCCCCTCTAGCAAATCCAGTTGAAGCTGGTTAGCAGTTTCTGAGGGACGCATCCTAACTATAAAAGCCCACAAAGGTGCTGTGGACTGCTCCCTGGCTCTGAGAGCCTTTGGTTTAGTTTATTTCAAACCTTCGTTGCTAAGTCCTTCCCACTTGGACTCATGGCTTAGGGAAAGGTCTTGGTACACTCAGGAATCTTCAACAGTTCCAGCCCCACCCACCCCCATAGGATAAAGGGGAAGTCTCCGGTAGAGTTCTGAGGGAGGATTAGAAGGTCATCTTGGCCGAGGTCAAGGAAATTTGCCTCCAGCTTGGTGACCCTCTCACCTTACCCAGAGCCTTTTGCTGATGCTCGACTTCCTTACCAGACTCTGCCCGTATCCACCTGTCACCTTCTTCTCTGGCGGTGCAGCCTGCCCAAACCATTAGTCCGATGATGGAAAATAAGGAAGCAGAAGGCTTTGTCTGAGCCCAGCCACAAAGGAAGCACTGGAATGGCCCATTTGAATAGAAAGCTCCCTGGCCGTGTGGCTAGGAATGTCTTCACTTTCAGCAGAGATTTTCTAGGCTGCCCTGGGCCTCTTGTTGATGATCCAGGTGGTTCATAGTTATAAAAATCCAGGGCTGTAGTCAGGGTTCTAGAAAGACATGGGAAATCAGCTCTAGTCAATAACTGACTGTAGTGCCCTCAAGCCTTCCTAGCGGCACAACAGTGTCTAGGATCCAGGGCTGTTTGGGGCTTTTGTCTAACTGTATGGTGGCCTAGGTCAGCGTTCTCCAAAGCAGAAACTGAGAAGTTAGAATTGGTATGTAGCAGGAGTCAGGAGGAGGTCACCTCCTGCTTGTGCAGAGGTGAGGAGGGAACAGGTTTGGGGAGAGGGGCACGTTCAGGGAAATGTTTGTGGAGCAGAAACCGGCCACAAACAATAGCGGGTACAATTTGGTTTCGGGGTTTTGAGAAAGGTAACTTCCAGTTTACTGATGGTGTCATAGGCTCAGAAGGGCTAGGCAGCTGTCTGAGTCCACACCGACTGGTGGAATTCAGCTCTGAGCCTGACACCATCCTGGAAAGCTTTAGACTCTTGACTAAGACCTGGTCAATACACCCGAAAGACTGCCCCCAGCCTCCCAAATTCAGTCTTAATGGTCATCTCAGACATGGCCCTGGGCACTTGTTCCCCGAGACATCCCAGCCCACTAATGGGGCTCTGGACCTTTCATTTTCCATCTAGGAACTCACAGAAGTTGGGAGGTCATCACCCCCATTATGGATAGAGAAGATGTTTGCAGGCCTAAGAGGAGAGAGCTACCTTGGGGGGGCCTTCACCCCCAAAGGATTTTATTAATCGACAGTTGCCCACAGCTAAGCTTTCCCTGCATGGCATGAAGGCTGAGGGCCCCTGCTGGGTTGATGGCTTAATGGCTGTCACAGCTGCCTGGGCTTTGGAGGTTAGGGGAGCTGGAATGACAAGGCCCTCGGAGCAGGAGACACTTAGCGGAGATGATGTTTCATAATATCCAGAGCCATTTTGTTTGGCGACACCCTACCACCAAGGCTTGGAGTGTGTGCGTACATGCCCAGGCTACATGGTGGGTAACTAGGCTTCTGGAAGGCTCTGTTACTACGGCTGCTGCACTAAATCCACAATTTGAAGACTGGAAGTGGCGGCTGGTTCTTAGAAGGGGGTGCCGCATGCTCCACTGCCTCCAGTGATAAAGGGCTCCAGCACTGTTTTTATTGTTGTTTTTGCCTATCCTCTTCTCTGCCCATGTTCTTCTAGGACCAGAGAGATATGGTCCTCCACCACTGAGGAGGCCGTGACCAGGCTCCCAAGGCAGGGGCTGGTGTTGTCTGGGTGACTCAGAATCAGCATGGAGGGTAGAGGGTGTGTGAGGAGAGAAGAGTCCCTGCTCCCTTGGAGAATAGCATTCCAAAGGTACATGACACACAAGTTGACAGATACCTGACTATGTCCTTCTTTGGGCTGGGTCAGCACAGAGCCCTTCCTGGTCACTGTAGAGCAAAGCATGAAGGGTGGTGTCAGAGTTTGTTCAGGCCTCACCTCCTGTTACCGTCACGTTGGGGGTCAAGCCTCAACATGCAAATGGAAGAAGGGACAAGCATTCAGATCGTAGCAGATGGCACAGGTGGCACACCCACCAGTCATTCTACAATAAGGTTGAGTTGGGGGTAGCCTGCACAGCGGGAGCCCCGTTTCTGAGTACTCTGGGATGGAATCTCCGGCCCTGCCCTGAAGGTGTCACGACAAGCTGAATAACCAGCCCCACCCTCAATACCTCTTCGGTCCAAAATCTCTTGGTGCTGCCTAATGGGGAGCCCATGGAGCAAGGTAGACCTTTGCCTTCTAAAGCTTGTAATGGGGTGCAAGAGACAGCTATCAGTCCGATACACACAATGTAGTAGTATTTAGTGTGGGCTTCAGAGAGCAGGGAGCCCCAAGAGTATCCATTAGCAGGGCCCATCCGCGGCGTAGATTTGGGCAACTCATGGGAGGAAGTGCCCTTCAGCTGCTGGGCAACAGCTTATCAAGTATGGGGAAGACTTTCTTCTCCACATGGGAGCCAAACGCCACAGGCCCCTGGCCATCTCTTGAGGATGGAACAGTGCTGCCCCTTACATTACAGGGCTCAGAGCTCATAAAAGGAGCTGGAGTGAGATTGGCGGGGAGCAGGCAGAATATACCCACCCAAGGGAGTCTCGTGGGACAGGGAAGAGCCACGAGTTCTGGAAAACTGATGCTGGCAGGGGAGGGTGAGAGCCTGTGAGGACTTGTTGAATCAGACGAGCCCTGAAGAAGAAAGAAATGCAGGACCAGGGAATGGTGACCAGAGAACTCCAGGCAGCAAGTCTTTAATCCTTGTTGGCAGCAGGAGGCTTTAGGGCAGAGCAGGAAAGAACCAGGGTTGGGAGTAGAGGTAGGGCATGTGCATGAATTGTCTCCACCATCTATTCAACCACAAGAGAAAAGGCTTCGCTTCCTCCTTGCCTAGACAGAGCCCATCCCTTCTTGTTTGGGCAGGGACCCTAGGCACACCTCTGCTGGGCAGCCAAAGTTGGTCAAAACCTCAGGAAACATGAGTCTCACACTAAGACTGGGCCTGTGGGTCCTAGGAATGCAGGCCAGGCAGGTCTGGGGCCCGATGGGCTTGACCTTCTTGGCGCTGGGGCCCCTTTCGTTGACGGAACATTTGCAACAGCTCTCGGATCACCTTGGTTGCACAGAGCATTCTTGGCAGGGGAGACACTTGCTGGGTAAATGCTAAAATTTAGCAGGTGCACCTGGAATGACCTTGGCTTTAGAGTTTTCTCAAATTCACACTTCTACCTGAGGCTACCTCCAACTGCTACTCCATCCCGGGGTTTGGGAAGGGGGGCACCCACAGGGACTGACTCCTTCATTAAGGAGTGGAAAGAAAGGAGAAACCTCTTTATATCCTGCCACTGACTGGCAATGGACACGCTCCAGCTGTGGCTTCTTCTTAGCATTCCTGTTTTATTTTGAATGGAAAAAAAATTATCTGTATTTACAGAAATAGAAAAAGAGCATTTGACGAGCATTCCCTGATTCTTCCAAATCAGAGCAACTGTTTTTCATTTCTACAGATTGTTTTCTAGAACTCATGTAGAGGTGAA